ATTATCTAAAGCTAATGCACACCTTTGAAGAGTTTGAAGATTTATTGGCTTCCAGTGAGAAATATCGTATAACCTATCTAAAGGAAGCGGTGAGTGATGAGATTATAAGGTTCTTCTTATTTTCACTTTTATTAATTAGCATTACATAAATAATAAACGAATCCACTAATGGCCAATGTAAAGAATAAGCGTTTGAGATGAGACAGTATTGAACTTAGATTGTCCCACTTATAGACGTTACTCATGCATTACAAACATTAAGGAATGGTTTTGTTTTACTTGGGTACAGATGAAAGATTTATCTGAAGCTTATTTTGAGGAATCCAAATGGAGAGATCAACATTACGTACCAACTTTGGAAGAACATCTACATGTTTCCCTCATCAGTTTAGGGTATCCTATGCTCCAATGTGCTTCTTTCGTTGGAATGGGAGAAATAGCAACTAAGGAGGCATTTGAGTGGATTGCTAGTTTCCCAAAGATTGTCCAAGCTTCTGCAATAATTGGTCGTATCATGAATGACATTACTTCACATGAGGTATGGTCATAATATAATCTCCTGTGTTTTATATCATATAAACATTTTTCACAGTAAATTTTGCATTGATTTCTGTCGTAGTAGAAATATGATAACACAAAAAAAAGAAAAAGAAAAAGAAAATAACGTACATTCTCCGATTAGATGAGATGGACCATAATTGTGGTTTAATAGGTAATCTCCAAAGTTGTCCTCAATATTCCTTCTATTTATCTCCTCAAAAGCATTTCTTGTGTCACTCAATTGCATTATCAAAGTTTTGCTGAACTCCTTAAATGATTTTATATTAAGAAATCTAGTACAAACAAAAAAACTCCCGTTCGTAAGCTTCCACATCTGTAGATTCTCAAATTCCTTTCATCTACACCTTATTATTGATAATAGTCTATCAATTTGTTTTAATATAATGAACATGTAAATCCTGAAAGGATCCGTTAGAATTTAGTTTGTAGATCATTAATCCTCTTTTTACATGAAATTTACAGTTGGAACAAACTAGGGAACATGTTGCCTCCACAGTCCAATGCTACATGAAAGAATACGGAACAAATGTGCATATGGCATGTAAGAAGCTTCAAGTTCTAGTTGATGATGCATGGAAGGATATAAACGAAGAGTGCCTCAATCAAACTGCATTCCCCGTTGCTTTACTTCAAAAGATTGTTAATTTTTCACGAATGACTGAAAATATTTATAAGTACATCGATGGATACACCAACTCCTCTACGAAGACAAAGGAATATATCTCTTTGTTACTTGTACATCCTGTTCCACTTTGATTGTATGACGATGCTTGCTTCTTCTATGAATCCTTTATTCTGAAATATATGTAAGCCTTTGTAAATGAATGTGTATTGTATTATACTGGCTTCTTCTATGAATCCTTTATTCTGTAATATATGTAAGCCTTTGTAAATGAGCGTGTATTATACTATGCTGCTTATCCTTTATTGTGAAATATATTTAAGCCTTTGTAAATGAACATGTATTGTGCTAGCCCTGGGAAGCTCAAGCCAGTATTATCTATGGAAAACAGAAATTTTTGTTTAACAGTAGTTCAAAGCAATTTGCAAGTTGCTGGTATGTGTTACAAAATTATATTAGCTATTTGCAATTTTCACTCTTTTCAGTCTTGCCAACTTTAGAAAGGCTATTGAAGCTGCTACGCTAAATAGAGTGTAGGGATGGTGAGGTTGGGTTTTGTAGATGCCTACATCAGATATCAAGATAATTGTTAGTTAAGTTTGGGATGATTACAATTCGGAAACATATATATTCAAGCTACATTTTGGATAAGTTAGTGATATCATATGTTGGACATAATTCATGCACCATGCTATCAGAAGATTTTGCCTTGTCATTAGAGAGAACAAATTCTACTATCTTATGAAAAATCTTGTAAACAGAACAAGCAATGGGGTTGAAAACATGATCATTCGTAGCCCTCCATATTCACCAAAGACCAATATCATTTAGAACCCACAAGGTTTGACCACCAGAATTGGGACACTGCACCCCCTTATTAAAAATTGAATATCCAGTTAAGATTTAAAGAGTTGCCATAATTTAATAGGCAAGACGCACAGAAAGAAGTGATTAATGGTTTCTGCTTTAGATTGACAAAAGGGACAAGTAGTAGCATTACTGCACACTCTTAGTTGAGACGATCAATCCGACAATGAGAGGTGGCGGTGCAAAAGTTTCCAACAAAAAAATTTAACCCGAGGTAACACGGGAAGCTTCCACAAACAATACAACTAGTCCAAGTTAGGATAACCATCCCAACTGAGAAGCAAGAAAATGATAAGCAGACTTAGCAGAACAAACCCTCTTATTATCTAGCTTCTAAAACTAAAAATTATCATGTGATATATAGATTAACAATGAGATTAGAACCACCAAAGATCTATCACTAGCATCTATATTGCTGATGTTAGTTTGGCAAGTCCCATAGTCCCACATCAGGAAAATCAAGCTTATTATGTCCTATTAGAACCATAAATAAGGGTCTGGGTTTTGAAGTCAGAAGCACCACAAGAAAAACCTAAGTATTTGCTTTAGTTTAAGTCCACACTCAGTTAAATAGTTTGGGCTTATAGTTTGAATTTTTTTTGTTTAGTATTTTCGGGTGTTTTATGGCCTAGGAATATCTTCATAAGATATTTATAATTGTCCCTCTTTTATAGTAGTAATTTGCTCCTCCTTCGTCTGTGGATGTAGGTATATTGACCGAACCACATATATTTGGTATTCTGGTGTTCTTGACTCTCTTTTATATTTTTGTTTTATTGTCCTTTTTGGGTTGCCAAATTACCTTATGGTGAATATCCTTAAGTCAGCTCTAATAAACTGGTATCAGAGTTTGGTTTCGGGATCTTTTGGCAACGTTGATAATAACAAAGATCGTTGTCGAGAAATTCGACAGAAATGTCAACTTCGGCATATGGCAACTCAAGATGGAGGCCATTCTGATTCAAGAGGGAATTGATTTAATACTACAGGGAGCTGAGAACATTCCAGATGATACATCATAGGAAGATCTTGTGGTAATGGATAAGAAGGCCCGATCAAGCATCATTCTAAATCTCTCTGACGAGGTTTTACGGGAGGTAGCTATGGAGACTACGACTAAGAGCATGTGGGACAAGCTTAAAGCCTTGTATATGAAGAGGACAGTGGAGAATCGTATTTACTTGAAGCAGAGTTTGTATATGCTTCGGAGGACTGAAGGTACATCTATACTCTCATATCCTGATAAATTTGATTCATTGGTTATGAATTTGGAGAATATAGATACAAAAATTAATGATGAGGATATGACCCTATTACTTTTGTGTTCTCTTCCCTAATCTTTTAAGCATTTCTATGATACTTTGATTTATGAAAAAGAAACAGTTTCGTATCAAGAAATTAGATCTGCATTAAAATCTAAGGAGCAAATAGACAGGGATATCATTGGGGAAAGTAGAGAGAATCAGGCTGAGGGTCTGGTTGTCAAGGGTAGAATGTATAAAAGAGAATTTGATAGTAGTAGATCTAAATCCAGACAGAGAAATTTGGAATGCAGATATTGTCATAAAATAGGGCACAAGGCTGATTGCTTTAAATTAAAAAATAAATTAAAGCAAAAAAGGAAAACTTGTTGAGAAAACTACTGAGTCCGCTGAAGCTAGTGTAGCATCTGATGAGAATGTTAAAAATATTTTCTTTGCTACTGATGATAGGACGATGTCTAAAAATGAATGGATTTTAG